CAACCTCTCCTTTTTTTCTTTTCTTTTTTTTAATTCTGGGATTTATTTACCTTCTATGGCTGTCACTGGAACTGAGAGCCAGCTTTAGCTCTGAGGCCGGCTCCAGCTCTGAGGCCTCGGCTGCTGAAAGCAGGAATCTAGGGTTTGTTTGGCTTCTATAATTGAGACACTGTTGCAACTCCAGCTCAGCGGCTGGCTGAAAGCATGGGGTTTGTTTAGCTTCTATAATTGCAACATTGTTTCTTAGAGTGCAAGCTCAGAGCCCAGCAGTGGCAGGCGGGGAACCTTGGCTTCCTCCTTCACTGGAGCAAGCAAGCCTCCTTTCGCTTCAGCTGCCTGGCTGCCGGCCGCCATCTTGGTTGGCAGTTAATTTGCATATCGCCCTGATTAGCCAATGGGAAGCGTGTTGGAGGTACGGTTAATTACCATGTTTGTCTATTATTAGATAGGATATTTGGCACAGAATAAGTATTCAGTGAAAGCTGGTTGTTACTGTTTCAGATGTTAGGAGCTCAAATATGGAAGCTGTAGAAGCCATCGTCCTGAAAGCACGTTCTAATGCCATTTAAAATACAGGTTCTGCAGCTGGTGTGCAAGGCTTTCTGTACTGTGGTTCAGTATTTTGAAGATATGGGTCCAGCATTCCTATATGGGGAGCCCCGGAGAGGTTTGTACTGTAGTACAGGCTTCATTCTTGTGCATTTTGTTAGCTCCATGTGGTGCTCTACCCTAAAGAAAGGATTGGGTTATCACCCATATTCATTACATTGCCAGAGAGAGCTGCCCTGTTGGTCTTGGAGATTATCTGTAAGCATGTGCAATCATGTGGCGATAATCCTGTTTACTGGCCTCTATAGGTGAAGTTTTGTTTCCTGGCTAAGAGCAGAGCTCCTCCTTGGAGACTGGAAGTTGGTTTGTTTCACCACCAGCACTAATGTATTCCACAGAAGGAAGAACAGCTGGGTCCTGATCAAGAAACATTTTTTTTAAATTTTATATGAATACCTCCATGATAATACTGCAGGAGTCTTCTCATTTTCTCTAGAATTTTGAAAGGCAAAGATCTGTGATTTATTTGAGTTGCTGCATTAAAATATTATATTATTCTAAAACTAAAATAAAACAGCTTTAGGACAAGAAGTTTGAACGTGCCTAAGATAAGACTTAATTCAATGGAGAAGTTATTTCATATGTAAAGATTGTTCCAAATTTCTCTGAGCACAGGATCATTATTGTTTTACAATCATTTCCATCAAAGTTCAATTCATATTAGTAGTATAACTTTTTCCTTATATAAAACACTATATCTGCATCCTACTATAGTAGTTTGTGACTAAATGGCAAATTTTATAGGAATAAAAAAGTCAACTCAAGTTTTTGGTAAACAACTCAAATTTATGTCTAATAATTTAAGAGAAAAAAAAGTAAAATTAAAACAATCAAGAAGGAAAGGCAATGCAAAGTATATAAATCACACAGTGAGCGAGGATACTTGGGCTCATTCAATATTCCATTCACATTCCTGCCCCTGGATTTCCACATTGTTATTGTATTAAAGCCTCAATTACTAACATTCTGCTATTTTATGCAAACAGTTTGATATGAAAGCTGGTTAATGAAATATTTTTATGTAAACAAGGAAGATTTTGCTAAATATAATCTAAAAGACAGTTAACTTTCATCTCACTTATAGGTGGAATCTGATAAACAAAATAATTTAACATATGAAATAGAAACAGAATCATAGATACATAGAACAGACTGACAACTGTCATATGGGAGGGTGTTGGATTGGGTAAAAAAAGATGAAGGGATTAAGAATATATATATATATTATATATAACAGTATGGTGATTGCCAGAGGGAGAGGGTTTGGGGAGGCAGAAGAGGGCAAAATGGGACAAGTTGTGGCAGAAACAGACTTGACGCTTGGTATGAGCACATGATGCAGTGTGCAGATGATGTGCTATTGAGTTTAACACTTGAAACTGTTTTATTAACTAGTGTTGCCCCAATAAATTAAAAATAAACAAATAAATAGAATTTTTAGTGGCATGGAGGGTTTCTTTGATGTTCTCTCTGAACTGCGACAGTGAAGCAGAGCACATGCTGGTGTCAGCATAACATGGTTGAGCCAAATTTATGTTACACTTGGATATTCATTTGTACACACTTTAATTTATGTCCTGTTCTTTTATATTTATTGTATTACTAGAGGCCTGGTGCATGGGTGGGGTCCCTCGGCCCGGCCTGCGCCCTCTCCCAATCTGGGACCCCTCAGGTGATGTTGGATAGCCGGTTTCGGCTCGATCCTCACAGGCCCAATCCAGACAGACAGGAGCCCGATCCTGTGCATTGAGCATCTGTCCCCTGGTGGTCAGTGCTCGTCATAGTGACCGGTCAACTGGTCTTTCAGTTGCTTAGGCTTTTATATAGATAGATGCTCTATTTCTCTCCATTAATCAATGCATAGTGACTCTTGCTCCTCAAGTTAGCCCCTGTCTTCCTCCAATATCAGTGCTTAGGAGTTTAAGCTGAAAGCTTGGTGTGCCTGGCCCTGGGCAACCCCATTCAGATCTGGTGGCATTTCATATTAGCCCCATCTCCACTTGGGGTTAGGAAGTTCTCAAAGTGTGATCCTGGAACCAGCAGCAGCACCATTGCCCGGCATGTGGAAGAAATGCACATTCTCAGGCCCTGACCAGACTGTTAGAGGTGGGGCCTGGTGGTCTGGGGTTACTGAAACCTCCAGCTGGTTCTGATGCTCAGTCAACCTTGAGAGCCATTGGTTTTAATTTTGCCTTGTTGCCTGTACCCTGTCTGCCTGCATTGACTTCCTGGGTACTGAGGTATGTATAATCTTTATTTTTCTTCCTCTGATTTCCTCATGACTGGGCCCTGTTCTCTCTGATTGAGTTTCTTCCCTGATTTCAGATGAACACTCTAGTTCCCAATTGAGATTAACACCTTGCTTGTCAGATTGGAGCCCTGCCAGCTCCTTTCCCTAAATACATCAATCCCTGCCTTTATTTCTCTCCCTTTCTGGCTGGTGGCCAAGCCTGGCATTGAATCAGTTAGGCCATTTGAAGCCAGTTCCGACTGGGGCATCTCCTTGACTAGGCAATCTCATGCTGTGCCCCAGGAGGCCATGTAGCACTGGCTAAGTTGACTCCAGCCCCTCACCTGTGAAGGTTGTGGTCGACGTCACCATCTTTCCTTATTAGGCTCTGTCCTTTAACCTAGATAATTGACCTAACCTGCCTAGAGCCAATTGTTACAGCTCACTCTCCCTGCCCACCTGGACATAAGAGACTGCAGAAGTTATGGCACTGTGTAGAGTCAGGGGATGCCTTTGGAAATCCCTAGAGGAGAGTTGGGTAAATACTTTAATTACTGATTTGGGGACAATCTCTTCAGGATAATGAAAGACAATCGTAGAAAATAAGTTACATTTGCATTAATTTAAGAAATATTGACATCATTTCATTTTGAGTACTCTAATTTACCTGATAGTACATTTGATACTTTTATCTTGTGCGCTTAGTATCCTCTAATTTTTGTTTTCCAAGCCCTAATTTTTCCATGCATGAATCTACCTGCTGAATTTTATTTTCCAGAAATCTGGACACACCTCTTTCTTACTAACAGTTTCCAGGGACCTGGTGCTGTAGAGTTTAGTGCAATGTGTGTGCTTATCATAGGAGCCTACGGGTAGCTGCCACAGGGAAAGAAATTGCAGGTCACACTTTTATGCTAGAAAATAATTCAACAAACATTTCATAACCTCTCCACTTACCTTTTGTCAAAGCCCTTTTATAAGCTTAGCCAGTATTCACAATACATCAAGAGGTCCTTTTTCCCCTTGAATTTGTTTTAATGCATAGCCACTTGGCCCAGCTTAGGCAGTTTAGGCATAAGCTTTCTTATACTAAACGACTTATACTAAATAAACTTCCTGCTTCTGCTTTCTCTTTGTCAAATGGGTAGAAAACGATCAGTAAATGCTTAACAAAAGAATATTATATTTGTGGTTATATTCATTTAATTTTTCATGTAGCAATTATTTATTCAATCGTATGAAGTGCCAGGCACTATATTGGTGCTGGAATAAAAGTCCTTGTCTATAAGAATCTTATTGGAAGTCCTTTTTCAGGCAGTCAGATATGGGTGTGAATTTTCCTTACAGAGAATGGGGGGTCCAGGGAGGGATTGTGTGACCCATAAAGATATATGACTTTGAGAAAGAAAATGTGATTTACCTGAAGTACCATTACATTCTGGAATATGATAATGAGGATCCAGATCAAAGAAACACTTAGAGATAGCATTAAAAATAGATTTACTCATTTTTGCAATTGGCACAAGCTATCAATTTTGTCCAACTACCTCAGCAGCTACATGCATGCTTCAGGTTAGCAGTAATCATCCAATTGATTGGATGATTGCTAATTGGAGGGCTCCTTACTGAGGCCCTGACACAAGTTAAACATTGTCTGACTGTGTCTGTAGACTCCCTCTGGCTAAACACATGGCTCACTAACCAAGTATATTTAAGCATGTTCTGTGTCCCTGGTTCTATCTTAAATGCTGTGAGAAATTAAAAATAAAATTAATTCACTTTCTCCTTGGTATTAGAGATTTTTCTGTATAAATCCTTATGGATTGTAAGCATCTTGAGGACAAGACCTGTGTCTTACTCATTTTTGTAAACTCCAACCACAATGTACTCAAGAGTGTTGAATGGAGGAATTCATAGATAAATTAATCATTTCTAGGGACATACTATAAACAGACATCACCCTGAGGTTTCTAGGACTCTTGGAAAATTCAGGTCAGTTGATGATAGATCATATTGTGTCACCTTGTGACTGACTGTGCACTTTTCCCTGGGCAATTAGCACACAGACCTGCCATGGTACTTTTGAGCAAGTCAGCAACTACAGACTGGAACTGCCCAGCCATGCCTCCTCAGGTGTCCTCCCTTAAATAGTGCCCCTAACCTGATCTGAAGCCAAGTCAGCATGGGGGTCGTTCCTCCTCCGAACACCCAGACTGTGAAGAACACAAGCAGCAGTGTGGTGGTGAACATCATTTGTTTGGGCTGAGATCCCGTGTCCCGAATAGCTAAGGCAAATGCTATGGCTCCTCGCAGACCTTTCAGAGAAAACCAAACAGAGAGAGAGAAAGAGAGAGAGAGAATAAACATCATAATTCTCATTTAATTGAATTTATCTTTATAATTTGCTAACAAACAAAATTACTTTTCAAACACAGTTAATTTTTTTAAATTAAACTTTTTATTTATAATTATGTAATGATAGATTCACAGGCAGTTGTAAGAAATAACAGACTTTCTGTTTGCCCTTTCCCTCCAATGATGACATCGTGCAAATTCTAGTGCAATATGACAACCACGATTTTGACACTGAGATAGTCAAGCTCTACATTCCCATTGCCACAAAGATCCCCCATGTCATCCTTTTATAACCATATCTACTTTCTTCCTACACAGTCCCTCTTACAAACTCTCTCTTCCATATCTTGCAACCAGTAATCAATTTTATATTTCTATAATGTTGCCATTTCAAGAATGTTATATAAATGACATCAAGAAGTATATAGCCTTTTAGAATTGGCTTTTTCACCCAGTATGATTCTCTGGATACTCATCCAGGCGGCTAAATATATCAATAATTCGTTCCCTTTTATTGCTGAGAGGTATTCCATAGTATGGATGTTTGATAGTTTGTCTAACCATCCACCTATTGAATGACATCTGGGTTGTTTCCAGTTTGGGCTATTACGAATAAGACTGTTGTGTTTGTAAACTTAAGTTTTCATTTCTCCGAGATAAATTTCCAGGACTGAAATCACCAAGGCATATGATAGTTGTGTGTGTGTGTGTGTGTGTGTGTGTGTACATATATATTTTATATACATACGTATATTTAATTTATTTTTACTGTTGAAAGTCTTACAGATGTCCCCCTTTTACCTCCATTGACTCCTTCTAGCCTGTACCCAACCCTGACCTAGGTATTTGTATATTTTTAAAAGAAATTACCAAAATGTTTTCCAGAATGGCTGTCTGCTAACCATTTTACATTCCCACCAGCAATATATGCTGTCCAGTTTCTCTACATCCTCACCAGCATTCAGTGTTGTCAGTATTTTTTTTTTATTTTAGTCATTCTGATAGGTGCATGGTAATAGTTTATCGTGGCTTTAATTTGCATTTTCCTAATAACTAATGATGTTGAACATTTTTAATGTGCTTATTTGCTCTCTTTATACCCTCTTGGGTGAAATGTCTCTTCACTTTTTACTTCATTTTCTAATTGGGTTTTTAGAGTTTAATTGTTAAGTTTTGAGAATTCTTTAAATATTCCAGATAATAGTCCTTTGATGGATATATAGTTCTTCCCACTTTGTAGTTTTTTTATTGATGAAGACTAACCTGTTGATTTTTGCTTTTATGAATCATGTATTTGAAATAAAGTCTAAGAACTTTTTTCTGGGGTCTAGGTAGCAAAGTTTTGCCCCCGTGTTTTAATTTTTTCCCCTAAGAGTTGTATAGCTTTACATTTTACATTTAAATTCATGATTCTTTCGAATTAATTTTTCTATAAGGTTGGGGCTCATTTTTTCATCTACAGATGTTTAATTGCTCCATTGAGTTGATTTTGTCCCTTTGTCAAAAACTAGTTGGGTGACTTTCTGTGCGTTCTGTTCCATTGGTATGTGTGTCTGTCCTTCTTTTGTGTGGTCACTGCAGACATATATTAGGCCTTAATATTAAGTGAGTTACACATGTTTTGTTTTCAAAATTATTTAAACTATTCTAGGTCTTTTGCTTTTCCATGACATTTTAGAACAATATTGTCTACATCTAAAAAATTATTTTCTGGACACATTTGCTTTTAAAAAATTAAATGCGCCCTAACCGGTTTAGCTCAGTGGATAGAGCGTCGGCCTGTGGACTCAAGGGTCCCAGGTTCGATTCCAGTCAAGGGCATGTACCTTGGTTGCGGGCACATCCCCAGTAGGGAGTGTGCAGGAGGCAGCTGATCGATGTTTCTCTCTCATCGATATTTCTAACTCTCTATCCTTCTCCCTTCTTCTCTGTAAAAATCAATAAAATATATTAAAAAAAATTAAATGTGTTGCCTGGCTGGTGTCGCTCAGTGGTTGAGCATTGACCTATGAATCTGGAGGTCACAGTTTGATTCCCAGTCAGGGCACATGCCTGGGTTGCAGGCTCAATCCCCCCAGTGAGGGGTGTGCAGGAGGCAGCCAATCAATTATTCTCTTTCATCATTGATGTTTCTATCTCTCTCCCTCTCCCTTCCTCTCTGAAATAAAAAGATATTTTTTTTAAATTAAATGTGCCAAATGACAATAAAAAAAGGTTATGGACCCTTGAAACTTAATAAATAGGTAACACTAAAGAATTACCCCAACCAGAGTAAATACTTTTATAAAGTCCATAATCTAAACTAACCTTTTAAAACCTGCATTTTTCCTGTTTTATTTTTCTTCTTCATTAACAATGTGTTAATTGAATTTTCATGTCAAAATTTAAAATCAAAGTGTGATAACATAAATAAAAAGAGATGTGGACTTTGAGGAAAAGTAACTAGAAGTACAAACAGTAAACTAAAAATTAAAATGGAAAGCCTCTTGGATATCATAAGACCCACAAGACATTTATGGGCCCTGTTATATCAGCTAACAGGGCAAATAAACATTTATAATGACAACGAGTCAAGTCAAAAACATAGTGATTTGGTTAATTTTATAGAAATGTTTAAATCACATAAGTAAAATTTTAATGGTCTACTTTTTACTATAGTTACTGTATCAGCTAGATTTCTAAATTTCCAAATCTTTTTTCAGACATTAAAACATTTTAGAAATTGGATCCATAGCAGGATGAGGAAAACTATAACTAGCCTGGCTTTTATCCCTAGATTCTCCACTTAGAACATAATGCTACTTTATTATCTCCACACTGACAATATACAAGAACAAGTAGCAGGACAGAAGATCCAGATGCTTAAACTAGAGAGGCCTCATATATTTTCCTGAAATAAAAAAAGCCTCAGAAAGAGAGAGCAACATGCACTCCAATTATAAAATACTTTCAAGGAACAAAATGTAATTGGAGGAAGGAAATTATTCTGAATGTCCATGTAGACAAGGAAATGACCTGCAGATAAGGAAGGTGACATTTGAAGTAGATGGTAATAAAGAAAAGTTCTTATACATCTGAAATTCTGGACTCACGAAGAAAATTCCCACGGGGGCTGCTCATGGATTTAGACCCGGCTGAGGACAGGGAGGGTAATATTAATAACCCTGAATCCTGGGGAATAATTTATCAATGTTCTCTCCATGAAATATAAATGGTGTCGTTAGGGAATGAAAACTCAAGGACACAGTCTTACAACAGACTTCAATACAAGACTGGAGATGGATGGTGATCTTCCCATTTTCTCTTTTCCTCCAGCTTGAGTGCCCATAAAAGAGCATTGCCCCAAATTAAGTGGTGAGTATGAGAAGTATTAAGTGATATGAATCTAATTATTTATTGAATATTTATGTGTGTGTTCACTTTGAATTTTTGTAAGAAGGAAAATAACAGAAATTAGAATAAAAGTTAAAACTTACTATATCATGCTTATTATAAACTTTCATTTTAGATATCAAGGACAATAAAAAAACACAATCATTTATATTCCTAAATATGTTTAACAATGTATTTCTATTATGTTAAACTAGCGTAACTATGTTTTCAAATCTAAATTATCTATACATGAACAGTTCTTCTTTTAAAAATATACTCAAAGATACCTGTTATTCTGACTTCTAATCCTATATAATAAAAGGGTAATATGCAAACTGACCCTAACAGCAGAACGACTGGGAATGACTGGTCACTATGACACACACTGACCACCAGGGGGCAGACACTCAATGCAGGAGCTGCCCCCTGGTGGTCAGTGCACTCCCACAGGGGGAGCTCTGCTCAGCCACAAGCCAGGCTGCCAGCTGCCAGCACAGCAGTGGTGGCGGGAGCCTCTCCCGCCTTCTCAGCAGCGCTAAGGATGTCCGACTGCAGCTCAGGCCTGCTCCCCGCTGGCAAGTGGACATCCCCCGAGGGCTCCCGGGCTGCCAGAGGGATGTCTGATTGCCAGCTTAGGCCTAATCCCCTGGGGAGCGGGCCTAAGCCAGCAGGTGGTCATTCCCCGAGGGGTCCCAGACTGTGAGAGGGCACAGGCCAGGCTGAGGGACACCCCCCCCCCCCCGAGTGCACAAATTTTTGTGCACCGGGCCTCTAGTCTATATATATAAAACCCTAAGCGACCGATCGACTGGTCGCTATGACATGCACTGACCACCAGGGGGCAGACGCTCAACACAGGATCTTCCCCCTGGTGGTCAGTGCTCCCCAATTGCAGGAGCACTGCTGCTCAGCTGACCAATGGGCACCAGACACTGGTCTCACGGCTGGTGAGTACCGCTGTGGAGGCGTGAGCCTCTCCCGCCTCCAAGGCAGCACTACTGAGCGGCAGCAGGCTCCGCGGGGCCAGGATGAGCTGGAGCAGCAGAGTGCGGCCCCCCGGCCCAGGCTTGGGCTCCTCCCTGGCTGCCTGCAACTTCGCACACTACTACATTCCTCAGGGGATGTCAAACTGCCAGCAGTTCAACATCTCCTGAG